CAAACAATGGATTTTAATTAGACTTGGTATGTGGGAGGATAACAGTAGGAACCCAACACCCATTTTCTTTCATTACTATCTAAAATTATTAAGGGCGGTTGGGGGGGGACTTGCTGAATTTTAATGGTAATCTTGTTAAAATAAAGTACATACAAAATTTGCTAACTCTCCCAATAACTGTTGGTTTGTAAGACGAGGTTAGGGCGTTAGTCGGCAGGCAAGACACAGTTACTGAAGGACTACTAACTGCAGTCACGGTATTGTGTCTGTCTGTCTGTCTGTCTGTCTGTCTGTCTGTCTGTCTGTCTGTCTCACTTGTATATTAGATCCGTCATATGACACAGGATGGCCATCTTGACACCATAGACCATAATTTGACCACGACGCATTTACCATTACGACACAGACGCTTGATACAGTTAACTACACCACAACCAGAGCTGCCTTGACACTTGACAACTTGACACGTGGCAGAGATGTCAAGCAATATAGTCGGCGGCTTCCACTTGATTTCGCCCGAGAATCCACCATTCCTGAAGTCAATAACATTTTCATCCTCGACCAGTTAATACGAGGACGTTGTGTGTGTCCTCGGGGATGGTTCGAGGACGTCTTTTGAGTCTTGTTCTCGTATTGAGCGTCTGGAGGTGGCTCGAGTCTCGCTCTCACTCTCTCAGCATCGATCTACGTGGAAATTCCTTGAGGATTTTTGTCGCGTGATAAATAATTGGGTGCATGACGGAGAGAAAGAGAAAGGGGGGGGGGTGAGGGAGGGAGGTAAGGAAGGGGGATAGAGGTAAGGAAGGAGGGATGGAACGCAGGGGGAATAGAGGGAGGAAGGGAGGTGATAGAGGGAAGTGGGGATAGAAGGAAGAAGGGAGGAAAGTGAGAATAAATGGAAGAAGGGAGGAAAGTGGAGGTTAGAGAGAGGGAGGGAGGCAAGTCACACATCATTACCTGTAAGTCGGTGACGCCTGGCTTGCACCCTGTCACCCACATCACCCACCTGTATGTACCCCCGCCCCCCATCTGCCACCCACACCACCTACCTGCCACCCACACCACCTACCTGCCACCCACACCACCTACCTGCCACCCACACCACCTACCTATGTATACTATACCTCCTTATCACCCGCCTACCACCCCACACCACGCTTCTACCACCCACTCCACTTGTATCTGTCCACCTGCCACCCACACCACCACCCACACCACCACCCACCTGACAGCCAAAGTTCGTCTCCCTTGGTTTAAATTCCTCCGTCACGTACAACAAGGCGCTCAGCTGACTGTTGTAGAGTGACTTCTTGAGTGACTGTTATACGTGTGACTGTTTTTAGTGTGACTGGTCTTACGTGGCTCGTCTCACCTGACTGTTCTGGAGTGACTGGTCTTACGTGGCTCGTCTCAGCTGACGGGTCTCAAGTAACAAACACCGTAAACTTCACGAGCCAACAGTACTGTGGCTTCACGGGGCCTCACGAGTATTATATAGAACATAACTTGAGCAGTGAGCGGGTTTATTGTCCTTGTGTGTGTGTGTGTGTGTGTGTGTGTGTGTGTGTGTGTGTGTGTGCATGCATGTGTGTGTATGCTTTTTTATCTTCTTTGTGTTTTTGTTTGTTTGTTTGTATTTATGTTTGTATTTGTTTTTGTGTCTTTGTTTGTGTGTTTGTATGGGTTTTCTTTGTGTTTGTCTGTTTGTATCGATGTTTGTGTTTGTTCGTGTTTATGTGTATGTATTTGTGTAATTTTTTGTCTGTATTTGTTTGTATGTATGTGTTTGTATTTGTTCGAATCTCTTAAAAGTATCATTGAACAAATGTGTTTGAGAATCTTTAGATCACCTGAAGAGTAGCAACCAGTGGATTAGGTTAGGTTAGGTTAAATTGGGTTAGGTTAAGTTATTTAGGGTTTTTCTTGCGTAATTAGGGGTCAAGAAATCGTTAAGAAAGAGTGTGTGTGTGTGTGTGTGTGTGTGTGTGTGTGTGTGTGTGTGTGTGTGTGTGTGTGTGTGTGTGTGTGTACGTCCGAGGGTCTTCAGAGGCTCTCTCTCTCACCACACAATCTACGCCAGCTGTCTGCATGTAAACACACAGGCGGAGGGAGGAGGGGACTGCACAGGTGACGCTCAACACCTGAGGCCAACAGATGTGTGGTGGGTTTTGAATCATTTTCACTTTCTGTTATGGCTACGTGTGTGTGTGTGTGTGTGTGTGTGTGTGTGTGTGTGTGTGTGTGTGTGTGTGGTATGTGACATCACGAGGCTGAGTGTACTGTAGGCTTAACACCTCCCCTTCCCCCTTCCTTCTTACTCTCCCTTTCCCATCTCCCCCACCCCAACTACTCTCCACCCACCCCTTGTGTCAGGCCTATTGTCACACACACCCATTTTACCAGAGAGAATGAAAGACGACACACACACACACACACACACACACACACACACAACCAATACTCTTGATGCTTATAGGTTAAAGGTCTCTGATGATTATTGAACAAGTGAAAATATTCGAGTTATTTTTATTATTATTATTATGATGTTTTAAGCGACCGAGTATGTTTTTTAAAGGAATGAAGGACTCTGGACTGTTGTGTGTTGGATTCGGTAAGGTTAGGTTACTTTAAGTTAAGTTAGGTTAGGCAGGTTAGGTTAGGTTAGGTAAGGTTAGGTGAAGGGAGGTTAGGTTAGGTTAGATTCGGTTAAGTTAAGTTTCTTAAGTCTTTTTGTTATTAGTCTTTATTGTTACGGGTGTGGGTGTGGACAGACCTGCATGTTGGAAGTATCGTCGAACGCAGAGTGTTTTTCCACTCTCTCTCTCTCTCTCTCTCTCTCTCAGAACACACGGTTGACATTAATAAATTTACCCTTACATTTTCCTTCTTTCTCAGCCCATACGGTCCGGTACTGTTTTTGTTGTACATAAACGACATAGTCCACGCCAGCACTCATAAAATACAACTTATTTGCAGACGATAGCAATCTCTATGCCAGCAACACAGACATCCATTCCTTGATGAGAACTATGAACACTGAATTGACTAAAATCAGGACCTGGGTAATACATAATAAACTGAACTTAAACCTTGAGAAAACCCACTACACGATCATTCGCAGAAGGAAAAACTTACCCCCGGACTTAGACCCCCTGTACCTTGGTTTTACAGTCATCAAGCTCGAACAAAATACTAAATTCCTCGGAGTTATTGTTGATGAGAAACTTAACTGGAGAAACCACATACAAGCCATTCACAGTAAAGTCAATAAACAGTGAGGTATCATGTATCACACTCGATAGTCACTGACTCTCACAGCAATGAAAGAAATCTATCATGATCTTGTTTACCAACACCTGATACACTGTCACACACTATGGGGGGCCTCTGGCTCTTCAAAAACACAATCTCTGGTTACTGCACAAAAGAGAGTTGTACGGACAATGACCTACTTGAAAAAAAAATCACACAAACGAAAAATTTGCTATATTGAAAATGTTAAAATTCGAAGATATTAACACCTACTGCTGTGCCCTCTTTGTTTACAAATCTATCAATCACTTGCTTAACAATAATTATTTCCAGTTCCGGAATAATCAGATACAACTTAAGGCACCCAGAGCTACTAAGACCACCCCCCATGCGCTCCTCTCAGTCCCAGACCTCCATAAAATATCACGGTGTGGTGTGGAGCAACTTACCCCCACACATCCCAGCAAAGACTACGCTCCCTTCCTTTAAATCATCTCTAGAAAAGTATCTACTGTCGAAGTATTAATATTTCTTGTAACACCTACTATATTTACAGTACCTGCTTTTATTGTACCATCAAAACCGTTTTATCGGAAATTATCATGTAAATAGATAAGTAATTACCATTGCAATAAACATAATTTCCAACTAGACATAATTCTGACAGCTCTGTCCTCTTGTTCAACCTTATTACTGTACAACCCATGTTGTACTGCTCCCTCATTATACTTATGTTTTTCAATTCCACTGTAATATATATATATATATATATATATATATATATATATATATATATATATATATATATATATATATATATATATATATTTCATGTAGATCCACAATGAAAACGTGGATAAGATAAATCTTGATAAAATCACACGGGAAAAGGGAAACAACGGAGCACCTAAGCTTTCGTCTTTATTCAAGACATCTTCAGAGGCAACTGTTGCCTCTGAAGATGTCTTGAGTACTCACCCCTGAAGATGTGAATTACACAAAGCGCTTGGGAACTTCGTGTTTTCTTCTTTCCTTGTGGTTATCATATATATATATATATATATTATATATATATATATATATATATATATATATATATATATATATATATATATATATATATATATATATATATATATATATATATATATATATATATATATATATACTGTATATATATAATAATATTATAATAATAATAATAATAATAATAATAATAATAATAATAATAATAATAAATAAATATTAAAGTGATAACCGTGGCAACATTATGAGATGTTCTTATTACCACCATGCTATTGTACTATTCCAGATGTTACTCAATGTTACATAATACTTCCTTGAGATAAATGTATAGTATATATATCAGGTGCCTAAGAGAGAGCTCAGGTTCTCAACTGGCTCAGCCATGTTAATATTGTTATTATTATCCACTGTATCTGTGTTTTTTCTGACTAAATAAACTGTTTCAATTCAAATTCACTTCAAGACGAAAGAATATCTCTCACCTTGTAGTGCCTGAGAGACTGCGACTAACCTAACCTAACCATCAGTTACGTCTATGAGAATCAGGACACTGAACAATAGGCCCATCAGAACGTCATTACAGGGGAAAAAGACAATTACAAATTAAGAAAAAAGAGAGACCGGCATTTGCTCGCCAGACGTAGGAGACAACGCCAGGTATTTTCGACTGTTTGTAGTGGACAGCAGGTAAACAAACCTCAATATATAGGTACAGTACTCACGTGGTAAAGTAGGCTTAACGGCGGTGGTGGTCGTGGTGGTGGTCGTCGTTGTGGTGGTAGTGGGGCTGGTAACTTTGGGTGGTGGCGTTGGGGCGGTGGTAGGGGCGGCGTGGCGGGTCTCCGGGGCGGGGAGGGAGTCGTTTAGCTCTACGAACGACCTGTGAACACGACCAGAGAACACCGGGAGATGTATTAATATTTGTTCTGTGATGTAATTATAATTTAAATGTGTGTATGTGTGTTCCCTATATACAGGTACGCACTAATTAACCACAATCAACACACGGTGGGCAGGTGCAAGTAGCCGTGTACCATGATGCAACATTACATAGAAAACGGAGGTTTTTTTTTTTATGGTCTTGCCACACTTGAGGGGCTTTTAGGGGGGAATTCCCAGAGTGTCCATGCCCTCACCTTCAGGATGCAACACCCGTGACCACCTGTGTGTTATATCCTTCAGGTAGGTCACGTACAGGACGAGGCCTTGGTTGAAAGGTGGTGGTAACAACTTAATTCTGATGGAGACTCGAGGTGGAAATTTTTTTGGAGGGGCATCTTAGTTGTTTTTGATTAGGCTGATACTAAGATGATAAATGATGATGAAATTATTTATGGATTGTATTGATTATTATTATTATTATTATTATTATTATTATTATTATTATTATTATTATTATTATAACTAAGGACTTAATTTCTGATATTAAAAATTACGATAAAGAGGTGAAGTATAGCCAACACAGCGTGAAGCAGCAAACAACCGCGTTACCAATACAGCCCTTGAACCTCACACCCCGCCTCGAATACCTGTCCTCTCTCTCTCTCTCTCTCTCTCTCTCTCTCTCTTTATTTTTCCATTTCCTTATAGTTCAATTATCACTAGTAATTAAACTAAATCTTAATTAACCTTAATATAACTTTAATTAGCCAAACCAATTGTTAATTTTCTTTAACATAATTTCACTTTGCTTAATTAAACCGTATTTAACATAAATTCCTTAAATTATCCAACCCAAACCTTAATTATCTTCAACGTTACCTTAGTTAGCTAATTAAAAAGAGAGATTCACTCCTTACCAAAATAATATTGGTCTGGTAATGGACACAAGTTAACGAGGAACCCAACTTGAAAAAGAAAAACATTTTCACTGTTTGTTTCTAAATCCCACAGCGTTATCTGTCCTAAATCCAGGTCACACAGGGAGGTAGGACACCAACATGATCCGAAATATTAATCTTTGTTAAGTGAAATTCGCTCTCGTAACCAGTTTAGGCGCGAGGGAGGAAGCGAAGAAAGAATGTCAGGCTGGCTAAGATAGTTGAGTTTCCTGTTTACCTTCTGGAGAGAGACTTTGATAACGACCAACTTAGCTAACACTGTTTTTGTGCACTAGTCTCTCTCTCTCTCTCTCTCTCTCTCTCTCTCTCTCTCTCTCTGTAATAGTGTTTATTTATTGTTATTTAGTCGTCTCTTGTTGTTGAAGAGGAGCTGTTCTCATCTGTCTAGTTCTGTGTTGTGGCCGCCAAGGTTTGTATTCAATACCCTTATTTTGTTTTTTTATATATTGGATGTTCCTTTTCTTTGAGTTGTTATTATACTTATTTAAGAATGTAATAAGTGCGGGAATTGTGTTGAATGTTGTAGTTACCCCTAATAAAGTTTTACATTTTCTTTGTAAGTAAGAAGAAAATGGAATTAAAAGGGTAAACTCATAAAATTTCTCCACATCCTCCCCATGTTTATATACCGTCTAATAAAATAGCGTTTACTTCTCATTTATTGATTTATTTTATCCCTAAGTTAATTATAAACAATACTTAGATATGGTATGATTGAAACGTAGACTATAAACTGTTAGAGGACCGATATTTTGTACTTACATTATATTAAAGTTTGTTCCAATATCTATATTTTGCTGAATGTTTGACTGATGTCTTTTCCCTTTCTCCATATCTTTATTAGTATGAACACGGTAGATCAATAAGGGAAATTAGTGTCTCTATTAACAAATGGAGTTTTTTATTATCGCTAACCTGACTAATGATTGATTATTAAATTTATTTTTATTAGATATTTAAGGAAATTTCCCCCCCCCCCCAAAAGACACAAGATTTTTCCCCCCTCACCTCTTCATCCTCCTCATACCTTTTCCCTCACCAACCTTTCTCTCCCCTTGCCTCTCTCCTTCTCTGTTTCCTTTCTCTCTCCCTCCCTTTCCCTACCTTCCTTTTCCTACCCTCTTCACCCCCTTCTTTTCCCATCTCTCACCTACCCACTCCCCACCTTCCACTCCCCACCCCCTTCTTCCCTCCCCACCCCTTCTTCCCTCCCCACCCCCACCCCTTCCCCCAACCTTACGAATAAAACAAAACAAAAACCTCTCCCTCACCTGAGATTAGCCAAATCCGCCTCGTGTTGGTGTTGCTCCGTCCAGAGTATGGCGGAGGTGTAGAACTTGTGTCTGGCGAACCTGCATTTAGTCTCCCCCGGTGGACCACACTCGAACAGGTAGCACGTGCCGGTCTTCTGTAGGTGGAAAGGGGAGAGAGAGAGAGAGTCACTTAGAATAGACACAGAGATAAGAGGAAGAATAGGACTCCTGAAATGCGAAATGTGTTAATAATTGTGACCTTTAAAGAGCCCCCCTTAGGAAGAAGGTCTTTTGATGTGAGAGACCCGTAGGAGGTACTAAGCACGTTAGAATTCCTGCAGACGGAAAAATTACTACTGCTAGGGGAGGAGGAGGAAGGGGTTAGGGTCGCCAGGTAGCCACGGTGTAACAAGGAGAAGGTTGGGTTGGGTTGGGTTGGGTTGGGTTGGGTTGGGTTGGGTTAGGTTGGGTTGGGTTTGGTTGGGTCAGGTTTAGTTAGATTAAGTTAGGTTAGGTTAGGAGAGGAAGAGGTTGTGGAGAGTTAAGAAAAGCATCGGGAACTTTTAAGACGGGCGAGGTGTCTTAGCCGTCCTCACAACACTCAAAGACTTTATTGTTAGTAAGATCACCTAATGATTAGCCCCTCCCGCCTAATTCATCTTAAGATAAACATCGTAACTCAACTTAACCTGCTGTAACCTAACGTAATCTGACACTATTATAACCTAGCCTTAAATAACCTAACCTAACGCTATCATAACCTAACCTAACCTAAAGCTATCATAACCTAACCTAACGCTATCATAACCTAACCTAACGCTATCATAACCTAACCTAACCTAACGCTATCATAACCTAACCTAACCTTACCTTAATGTAAAACAAGCTTGGTGAATCTAAAATCTTCAGCTGACATAATTATTGATTTTTCTTGGACGTATTAAATAATTTTTCCTTGACATTCCTGAGCATAATATAAGCAGCAAAAACTGGTCTTAGTCAGAGTACATGACCCGCTCCGTCACCACCCCAGTCACCCCTTGCCCCGTCCACCCCTTGCCCGTCCACCCCCTTGCCCCGTCACGCGCCTCGTCCACCCCCTTGCCCCGTCCACCCTCCCTTGCCCTGTAATGACTGTAAAATGTCATAATGTTTTTTATATAAATAGTTGACACACAATTATCTTTAGGTGTAAAAGTAGGCATTTATTTTCCTGTTATATGAGTGGGGGGAAGGAGAGGGACGCTGATGAGTGGGTGAGAGGATGGGTGGATGAGTGGGCGGGTGGGAGAGTTAGTGGGTAAGTGAGTGGATGGGTGGGTAAGGAGAGTCGGCAGGTGAGTGAGTAGGTTAGGCGAGTGGGTGGGCAGGTGAGTGAGTGGGTTAGGTGAGTGAGCGGCCTAGGCGAGTGAGTGGGACAGGTGAGTGGTTTGGTGTGTGGGTGTGAACAGCAGACCAAAATAGTCTGCCCCGTGTTAATGATTTTTGTCACGTCATGTCTTGATGCGTAATATAGCTGTTCATGTTCTCAGGTGTTCATGTTCTCAGGTGTTCATGTTCTCAGGTGTTCGTGTTTTCTGGTGTTCGTATTCTCAAGTGTTCATGTTCTCAGGTGTTCATGTTCTCAGGTGTTCATGTTCTCAGGTGTTCATGTTCTCAGGTGTTCATGTTTTCTGGTGTTCGTGTTCTCAAGTGGTTATGTTCTCAGGTGTTTGTGTTCTAAAGTGTACATGTTCTCAGGTGTTCATGTTCTCAGGTGTTCATGTTCTCAGGTGTTTGTGTTCTCAGGTGTTCATGTTCTCAGGTGTTCATGTTTTCTGGTGTTCGTGTTCTCAAGTGGTTATGTTCTCAGGTGTTTGTGTTCTAAAGTGTACATGTTCTCAGGTGTTCATGTTCTCAGGTGTTCATGTTCTCAGGTGTTCATGTTCTCAGGTGTTCATGTTCTCAGGTGTTCGTATTCTCAGGTGTTCATGTTCTCAGGTGTTCGTGTTCTCAGGTGTTCATGTTCTCAGGTGTTCGTATTCTCAGGTGTTCATGTTCTCAGGTGTTCATGTTCTCAGGTGTTCGTATTCTCAGGTGTTCATGTTCTCAGGTATTCATGTTCTCAGGTGTTCGTGTTCTCAAGTGTTTATGTTCTCAGGTGTTCATGTTCTCAAGTGTTCATGTTCTCAGGTGTTTATGTTCTCAGGTGTTTGTGTTCTCAGGTGTTCATGTTCTCAGGTGTTCATGTTCTCAGGTGTTCTTCTCAGGTGTTCATGTTCTCAGGTATTCATGTTCTCAGGTGTTCGTGTTCTCAAGTGTTCATGTTCTCAGGTGTTCATGTTCTCAGGTGTTCATGTTCTCAGGTGTTTATGTTCTCAGGTGTTTGTGTTCTCAGGTGTTCATGTTCTCAGGTGTTCATGTTCTCAGGTGTTCATGTTCTCAGATGTTCATGTTCTCAGGTGTTCATGTTCTCAGGTGTTCATGTTCTCAGGTGTTCATGTTCTCAGGTGTTCATGTTCTCAGGTGTTCGTATTCTCAAGTGTTCATGTTCTCAGGTGTTCATGTTCTCAGGTGTTCATGTTCTCAGGTGTTTGTGTTCTCAGGTGTTTGTGTTCTCAGGTGTTTGTGTTCTCAGGTGTTCATGTTCTCAGGTGTTCATGTTCTCAGGTGTTCATGTTCTCAGGTGTTCATGTTCTCAGGTGTTCATGTTCTCAGGTGTTCATGTTCTCAGGTGTTCATGTTCGCAGGTGTTCGTATTCTCAAGTGTTCATGTTCTCAGGTGTTCATGTTCTCAGGTGTTCATGTTCTCAGGTGTTTGTGTTCTCAGGTGTTCATGTTCTCAGGTGTTCATGTTTTCTCGTGTTCATGTTCTCAGGTGTTCATGTTCTCAGGTGTTTGTGTTCTAAAGTGTTCATGTTCTCAGGTGTACATGTTCTCAGGTGTACATGTTCTCAGGTGTTCATGTTCTCAGGTGTTTGTGTTCTAAAGTGTTCATGTTCTCAGGTGTACATGTTCTCAGGTGTTCGTGTTCTCGGTGTTCTTATTGTAAACTGATCACTGAGGCAACACAGACCAGCAGCCTGAAGCCATACTCTTACCTAACCTCTCATACCTCACCTTCTGTTTTATATCTCACCTCTACCTCTAATATCTCACCTCTACCTCCAATATCTCACCTCTACCTCTAATATCTCAACTCTACCTCTATCACCTCTACCTCCACTATCTCTCTACCTCCAATATCTCACCCCTACCTCTAATATCTCACCTCTACCTCTAATATCTCACCTCTACCTCCTAATATCTCACCTCTCTACCCCTCTAATATCTCACCTCTACCTCCAATATCTCACCTCTACCTCCTAATATCTCCCTCTACCTCTATCTCACCTCCCTAATATCTCACCTCTACCTCCACTATCCCACCTCTACCTCCTAATATATCACCTCTACCTCCTAATATCTCCACCTCTACCTCCTAATATCTCACCTCTACCTCAATATCTCACCTCTACCTCCACTACCTCACCTCTACCTCCAATATCTCACCTCTACCTCTAATATCTCACCTCACCTCCACTACCTCACCTCTACCTCCAATATCTCACCTCTACCTCTAATATCTCCACTCTACCTCTAAATATCTGTTAATTTCTCACTCCTTACCTGTTTATCCCACCTGTCAGGTGTTTTACAGTGATGGGAATTAATGTGGTGTGTGTTGTGGTGTGGTGTGGTGTAGTGTGGTGTGGTGTAGTGTGGTGTGGTGTGGTGTGGTAGGTCAACTTATGTGGCTGGTGATTGTTGGTAGTGGTGGTGAGGGATGGTGGTAGTGGTAGTGTTGATTGTGGTGGTGGGGTTAGTAGTAGTAGTGGTGGTGGTTTGTAGTTCGTTTTGTAGTATTGTATAAGTACAGGTATTTAAAGGTAATTAATTTACCTGTGTGTTTTCGGTGTTTAGTTCTTGATAAATTGAGTTAAAATCATTTAGAGTTTATTAGGCGATGTTAGATTGGTTTAAATTCACTTACAATAGATTAATAATGATGTTAAATTGTGTTAATTTAAGTTACATTTCGTATACCAATTCGGTTAGGTTAAATTCTCTTAACATCAGGTTAAATTCACGTTTAACAGAGTAGGTTGAGTGGAACTAGGTTAAAATAGTTAATAGGTTAACTTAGGTTAGATTGGGTTGAGGACAGGTGGAATTGATAACCTAGAGTGGCTTGGTGATTGGTTGAGTTAGGGCACTAGCGTATAGGATTCGTCGGAGCTCCAGCCAATCATCTTCAAGGTGCTTTACTTCGCGTCCAATCAGCTTAGGGCGTAGCATGGACGTCTCCTCCCGTTTATATCACGTCTCAGACCTCGAAGCTCAGCCGTCCCATACAGGAGTACAGCTGTAACCTAACCTAACCTAACCTAACCTAACCTAACCTAACCTAACCTAACTTAACCTAACCTAACCTAACCTAACCTAACCTAACCTAACCTAACCTAACCTAACCTAACCTAACCTAACCTAACCTAACCTAACCTAACCTAACCACATTATTATTACTCTCATTATTCCTAGATATTTATTCATTTATCTTAATTTATTTTCTTTATATTTATTTTATTCTTCCTGTGATATATTTTATTTTACGGAACTGATATTAGGTTAAAATTTCTCCTCTTAGAAACATGATGTTCCAGTGTTGTTACTTTGTCTATGGTGTTACTGGTACTGTTACTTAATGTATGGTTACTGTAGCTGGCAATTACTGATAATGTTATTTAATGTGTTATGTTACTTTTAATGTTTTATGAATTTGTTACTTAATATGTTACTGTGTTCTTATTGACAAAAGTGTTACTGTTACTATGTTACTGGATTTGTGACTTTGGTGATATTAATGGTATTTATATATACTGTATATGGATGGGTAGATATGGTTGATAGATGGTTACACAAGATAGATAGATAGATAGATAGATAGATTGGGAGGTAGATACTGTATATATACACAATACAGTTCAGTGGTAGATAAGTAGATATACAGTTAAATACAGGTAGATATACAGACAGGCAGACAGACAGGTACACACAGTTAGATAATTGGAGAGTTTCACCTTGATCCACCTGGCAATCCTTGTCTCTACCTGGTATTATTGTGAGGCAGGTGAGGCAGGTGTTTCCATCGCCTCCACCACCAAATGTCAACACGAGAAGCTGTGTAACGAGTCATTAAGAAATACTAGTTTGGTTTGGCGGATTTTCTTTTATTTGTTTTATTCTATTTTTTTTCCCCCATTTAAGCAAGTTTATCTCGGCCTTCATCCTTCAGTGGTATTCAAGAAATGTTTGATACAGTCACTGCTGGTTTGGGTAAGGTCGTGTCTGTTGTGATGTTTCTATTTACTAATAATAGGGGTTCAGGTCTAAATTTTAGGTCTCGTTTTCAGTTTTATGTTTTGGGGGTTTCTTTTGTGTGTGTGTGTGTGTGTGTGTGTGTGTGTGTGTGTGTGTGTGTGTGTGTGTGTGTTCTCTCGATTAAGTGTCTTGTCATAGTCTTACATGAATTGAGTAGATGGAACAGGAATTAGTTTTGACAAAAGAGAGATCCTGCGGTAATTTCCTTCGTATAAATAGATCTCGGAGCTATATTTCCCTTCACGGTTATAAGACTCAACACGGGAGGGTCGGGGGACTGACAGCTGGGTAGTAGAGGCCCAGGTGTTTGTGGTCTCATGATGGTGTTGGTTTATGTGTACATGTCATACCAACATCTTTAGTTTGTTTACAGTGTTTGGCTGTCACTGTCACACCGCAAGTGATCAAGACTCGCGTCCTACCTGCTGTGTGAGGAGGACGCCTGGTGGTGGAGAGGGCCCGCATGTTGGGTTGTGACGCACTGCCACCACCCGCACGTGATAATATATAAGTGCATGTTTGAAATTCTCCAGGAAGAGATATGTGCATGATATGAGGAAACATTCCGTTATGCGACTCACTGCCCACACAACAACTGGTCCCAGGCTGAATGAACTCTCTCTGGGGTGCTGGTTCAGTTTTGTCTTACCTTCTCCTCGAAGACGGCCAAGTTGCAGAAGGTATTCCTGCAGCAGAGGGCGAGGCAGTCCTCCCTGTTGCCCACATCTAACGAGAAGTGGATTTTAGCCCCCTGACGTATGGAGTCCTGAGTTCTAATGATCGTGTCCTCCTTCACTGAGAACTTGTCCAGACACCCGTGTTCGGTGCGTATAGTATCCAGAGAGCCAACCCTCTTGCGGTCGTGGGTGAACTCTGCAGTACACACCCGCAACGCCTGACAGAAGGCACAATAACTGTAGTCTCATGGCCTGTGAGGGCACCGCAGCCATGTCCAGTATTCTCTGTCACACCCAAGTTAAATGATCCAGCAGTAGCACCTCGTTTTTCTACTGTCAACAGTCTTATCAACACACAACACGAGAGGTCTCCACTATGTGAAGTTGGCAGATGTTGTACGAGAAGAAAATGGAACAATTAAGGTGTTCCAACCTCTAAACAAGGAGTCAGCGTGGCACTGGATCCCATATGGGGCAGATCCTGTGTTATTGATCATCAGGTTCTAGGCCGTATTGCATCATACAGGCATCGTAACACCTGACTTTATATCTACAATGGCTTTATAATATTGACAAATAATTGATTAATTTGTCCAAAAATATGTCTACCAAATACTGATAGCATTACAGTAATAACATGAATACCAAATGTCTCCATGTCGAGCAGAAATTACTGGAACAGTTTCGGCAACCCTGCAGTCGTGCGGTTGGCAACGAGGCGGGAATGAACCTCGCAGGACGCAGGCGCACTTTGTCGTCTGTCATCGATCCCGCAGGACCACGTGCCGGCTTACTAATGCTTAGCGGCTCCGACAAACTGGGCCACGTAAGTCTACAATACCTACCGCTGTGTGCCACTCATTGCCTCCACCTATGTTGCTAGCAGGGGGGTAGACACTTCCCTACACCTAAGTTGTCGTCAGGGCGATGGCACTCACCACATGCATATTGCTGCCTCAGTGGCACTGGCCAAGAGCATATTGCTGTCAGAATGGCACTATCCAGACGTATGTTGCATTAAGATTGGCATTGTTCCCACTATTGACATTTAGAATGTTACAAATACTGCTGTCAGAATAACATTTTCCTGATATATGTTACCAGATGGGGAAGACCTGGACCAATACATGCACTATGGCACTACCTCGTTAGTTACCGCCGTCTGGTGCCACTCAACCTCTAGTGTCCTCGTACCCGTGTGTGCCACCACCTGGGAATAAACAAGTTTTCTGACGACCTCGACCCCAGCGTGGGCCACCAGGGTATTGAACTTCAGTGCCTTGGGTCGAGTGTTGGTGTACGTGGCTCTCCCTCCCTCGTTTATAGTCGCCTGCCCTCCCTCACCACAACCAACTAACGTAAGCTGATCATAAGAGGGGTGCCATGGGGACTATAAGAGGGGTGTCGGGTTTTGGGAGGGGTGCCGGGGGACTTTGAAAGGGGTGCCGGGTTTTGAGAGGGATGTCGGGTTTTGAGAGGCCTGTCGGGTTTTGAGAGGGCTACCGGGGAGCTTTGAAAGGGGTGCCGGCTTTTGAGAGGGATGTCGGATTTTGAGAGGACTGCCGGGGAGCTTTGAAAAGGGTGCCGGGTTTTTGAGAGGGAATTCGGGTTTTGAGAGGGGTGCCTGGGGGCTTTGAAAGGGGTGCCGAGTTTTGAGAGGGATGTCGAGTTTTGAGAGGGGTGTCGAGTTTTGAGAGGGGTGCCTGGGGCCTTGATAGAGGTGCCAAGCTATGAAAAGGGTGCCAGACTTTTGAGAGGGATGCCGAGAGGCTTTAAGAGGGGTGCCAGGCTTTGAGAAGGGTGCCAAGCTATGGGAGGGGCGCCAGGCTTTGTAAAATATGCAGGTATCCCGCCTCTATTGTCCAGCGTGAAGCAAAAAAAAAAGTGCAGATCCTCCCCTTGTCGCTATTTTAATGCTCCTGTTGAAAAAGAAACGCATTATGACTTGGGTCTGTCAACTGTCAGGAGTGTAAGATGGGTGGGTGGGGGTGGAAAATGGGTGGGTAGGGATCAAAGATGGATGGGGAGGGGTGAAAAATGGGTGGTTGGGGGGTGGTGGATGTGTGGAGGTGGAAGATGGCTGGATGGTTGGGGGGTGGAAGATGGGTGTGTGGGGGTGGAAGATGGCTGGATGGTTGGGGGTGGAAAAGGGGTGGGTGGGGGATGGATACCTAATTAAGAACTAGGACCTATAAAACTGTTTAACAACATACTACTACTACTTTGCTGTCACTCGGAATCGAGTATAACGACCATCCAGCTATGATATGATATGAGTTATTAAGGATGTCACCTAGGTTGGTGAGTTTTGAGGTGACTAAAGAGGCCGATACGGGACCGGCAGAGTCGTTCACATTAGGTGCACAAGTGGAGGGCTACATCTAGTGCGGGAGGGGCTGCGGCAGCGTCCTTCCGGCGTTGGCGCTTGTCTGCCTCAGTATGCAGTCGGGCTAACTCTAAAGTATTGACACCTTGCGTGGTGCCCCTCTAAGCGTTACGGTGTGGAGTAATCGTCTCCCAGGTGAGGGGGTCGATTTGGCATTCAGGTTTGTCTTTAGACTATTCTTATACCTTTCCAATTGCCCGCCGGCGTTACGTTTACTATTCGTTAGGTGACTGTAAAGTAGCTGCTTTGGCAGTCTACTGTGGTCCACACACACACACACCAAAACCTAAAGTGTTACCTCAAAGGTCAGATATAAGACCAGGTGTACTGTAGGTCATGGTGCTCTAATTAACTTCCAGGTAAAGGTAAAGATACTTATTGGTTCTAATGATACTTTTTCTTTCTTCAGGTAAACAACAGTCGTCATGAGCCTCAGCACGGTGGAGGGGCAGGAGGAGGAAGAGCAGGAGGAAGAGGAGCAGCAGCAGGAGGAAGAGGAGGAGACGGTCGTAGGTCATCACCGCCCAGCAGTAAGGTACGTTATGGTGCATGTCTTACGAGGTCAAATGGTGTAGGTTAGGTTAGTTTGGTTTATTATTATTATTCTTAATTTTTCTCGCTGTGTTTACATGAATTTGTATTTCTAACTTTACTTTATGACGAATATTAGAACCAGAACACACACACACACACACACACACACACACACACACACACACACACACACACACACACACACACACACACACACACACACACACACGATGATAAAACCCTCCGGCTGGCCATCACTGAACCTCATGAGACAAGGAAACAGCACTGAACACCTCCCCTCCCCTCTCCCTTCCACCCTCTTCCCTCCTCCCCCTCCCTCCCTCCTTCCTCCCTCCCTCCTCCTCCCTTTCTGAGGCGCCTCTCACCTGCTCCTACAAGACGTGAGGACTGAAGTGTGTGGGACAGGTGACTGGCCGTCTCATCTCGGATATGTGCGGCTTGATATACTTGTGTTATTTATGTCTGAGTTTGTCTGCACTCTGTCTGCTTGTTTGCATCAGAGTGTGTGTGTGTGTGTGTGTGTGTGTGTGTGGGCAGAGGTGAAACAGGGGTGGGTAAGTGTGTGGTGTGACCAGGTATGTGCGTGTGTGAGACAGTGGCCAGCTGTGTGTGTGGGAGAACAGGTGTGGCGTGTGGCAGTGACCAGGTATGTGTGTGTGGCAGTGACCAGGTGTGTGCATGTGTGTGGCAGGACCAGGCAGGTGGGGTGAAAGATCAGGTGTGTGTGTATGTGGCAGGACTATATGTGTGGCAGTGGCCAGTGTGTGTGTGTGTGTGTGTGTGTGTGTGTGTGTGTGTGTGTGTGTGTGTGTGTGTGTGTGTGTGTGTGTGTGTGTGTGTGTGTGACAAGAGGAGGAGGGTGTCGCTCTTGTCAGTCGGCTGTGTCCAAGGGAACCCAGATGCATTATTTGTCTCCCTTCCCTCTCAGTATTCCCCTTTCCCTCTCCCCTCGTCTCTCCTCTCTTTCCTCTCCCCCACGCCTCACTTCCCCCTCGCCTCACTTCCTTCTCCCCCTTTTCCTTTCTCCCTCTTTCTCTCTTCCCCTCCTCTCCCCTAGTCCAACATGATGGAAGCTTATCATCTCCCCTCGTTCTCTCCCCTTAAGCCCCACCTTTACTCTCCCCTCGTTCTCATAATAACAGTCCATCCCCTCACCCCATTTACTGTCACTACCACCATCACCCACCTACTGTCACTTCCTACCTACTGGTATCACCCACCTACTGTCATCACCCACCTACTGTCATCACCCACCTACTGTCACTTCCTACCTACTGGCATCACCCACCCACTGTCATCACCCCACCCACTGTCACCACCCACCTACTGTCATCACTCCATCCACTGTCCATTCCTCACCCATCACATTGTTCACCCATTGTCATCGACTCCATCACCACATTTCCTACCTACTGGCATCAATCACTGGCATCACCCACCCACACCACCCACCTACTGTCATCACTCCACCCACTGTCACTTCTCACTCACTGTCATCACCCACCTACTATCATCACCCACCTACTGTCACTTCCACTAATACATCACCCACTACTGGCATCACCTACCATCATATTATCTACACTACTAGGTCACTTCCTACCTACTGTCATCACCACTCAATGTCATCACCACCATTGGCGGGCACCCACCTACTGTCACTTCCTTTACCCATTGAAGCGTCACCCACCCACTGGCATCACCCACCCACTGGTCACTTCCCACCACCGTCATCACCCCACCTACCGGCGGCACCCACTCAATGGCATCACCCACCACTGGCATCACCCACCCATTGTCACCCTACCCACTGAGCATCACCACCTACCGTCATCAATTCAATTTACTGTCATCAATTCAATCTACTGGCATCACCCACCCACTGGCATCACCCACCACCGGCATCACCCACCCACTGTCATCACCCACCTACTGTCATCACCCACCTACCGTCATCACCCACCCACCGTCATCACCACCTACCGGCATCACCCACCTACCGTCATCACCCACCTACTGGCATCACCCACCTTCTGGCATCACCACCTACCGTCATCACCCACCTACCGTCATCACCACCTAATGTCACCCAATCTACCGGCACTCAATCTACCGGCATCACCCACCTACCGTCATCACCACCTACTGTCATCACCCACCTACTGTCATCACCCACCTACTGGCGGCACCCACCTACTGTCATCACCCACCTACTGGCGGCACCCACCTACTGGCGGCACCCACCTACTGTCACCTATTATCACCACACATCTACTGCTACCTCCCACCTGCAGTCACTACCCACCCACTGTCACCTACACACTGCCGCCCGCCCACCCACTGCCGCCCACCCACTGCCGCCCACCCACTGCCACCTACACACTGCCGCCCCGTGCCATCGTCAGTTCCCCTGGTCGCTATAATCTTCTTTTGCACTTTTCCTGCAACGCTGTTCTTCATCCACCCTTTGTTGTCCTGTTCTTCATCCACCTTTTGTTGTCCTGTTGTTCATCCACCCTTTATTTTCCTGTTCTTCATCCACCCTTTGTTGTCCTG